ATACTTTACAGACACGACAGTGATGATGCTGTTCTGGCTGATGAGCGTCACGTGCTCTGGCACGTGCCCTGAGAATAACGCCCTGAAAGAAGCCCTCACGTGCCTCCACAATCTGACAGATGGGGAGAATGCCAAGGTCACCATAAGCCCCGCAGACATCTATAGGACCAAGCAATTCTGCGAGTATGTAAATGTTATACGGTTTGACCAAGCAATTCTACGAATATGTACAGTGTTTTATGATAAGGTCAAAGTAATTTGTGTGTATAGTCTTAATTACTGATTGTGTAGTCTTGATTACTGAGCTGTTTCCTTTGAGTACAATTCTCAGTTAACCTTGGACTATCAGTAAGGCGTGGTATTCTCAAATGTTACCTATTAAGCGTCTGAAATTTACACAGCCTTTCATTCACATTGTTGAAATATACATTCTGGCGAATGTCAACGAGTGTAGCAATGATCGAATGATAGCGTTTCGTACGGCAAAGAGGTGGGGCATAAGGCGTCTCATCGTTGTCAACAATAATTAAAATTTTTTGATGTTATAATAATTAATTTCTTAACCAATAAGAATCTGTTCTCCATGTGAGAGACGCTAATTACGTAGTGTCGATAAACTCACGCCCTACTGAACGTCCAAGGTTAACTGAGAATTGTATTTTTAAATGAGTCAAGGTCGGCCCATAGGGATAGGGATATTTCTAAGTTACACGAAGTTTAAAAGATGAAAAAAAAAATCTAGCATAGGTTTCTTTGGATACAATCAGAATTATGAATGTTTTTTTTTTTTCGTTTAGAAATGGAAACTTTAGGGATTCGGTGAATTGTTTAAGAAATTTACATCAATCGTGTAAAGATCCGGTCAAATTAGAGATGTTGACAAAATACGCTGACCCTAATGCCTGGGAAGCTGGATTTGACAGACTTTGTCATAGCATGTCACGTAAGGATCTTTTTAATACCTATTTTATCTTGATCTTAATAATAATAACGATGGATATATAGAGAAAATTATAATTTAATATAATAATTTATGTTAGAGATATTGAAACATGAATCCGTTCATTTTCCAGTGCTTCTATACTCATGCAGCTCTTGTAAAATTCCAGCTGTATGCTTGTACGCCTGATCCTACTCATTCTGTCATTCATTGCCTAGATATACTAGTAATCCCGATAGTGTTAGTTTTCGTTTTACCTGTTAAAACAGTGTCAAGGTATTGTGATGTCTTTTTCAGTATATATTAGTAAGGCTGACTGCATCACAAAGCAAAACTCCGAAATCCAGAAATGCACGGAGAGCAAACATAAAGATATCGAAATTTCCAACGAAGCTGGCGTGACCTACAGCATCAGTGAAGACGAAGAAAAATATGTAAAGAGTATATGTGGGTGGGTATTTACCGAATCTTATTTACTGTTTATTAGTGCTATACCTGTAAAACAGATTGGACTTTAACAGGGTTTTGGCTGTCTGTCTGTCTAACTGTTTAGCTGTCTTTCTGTCCGTCTGTCTCTGTCTTTCAGCCATGTTATCAATCTCCCATGCAGAGTTTTTTTTCTTTTAAACACCACTACAAAGGACTTTTTAAGATTTTTGACATGATAGTCTTTTGCTTTAGCATTAATGAAAAAGGCAAAGATAAGGAACAGTGATCGGTCTCTATGTTTAAAGTGGAACAAGGGGATTATTGAAGTCTTTGTATGTAGCATCAATTCATTTGTCAGTAGCGTGCCTCAGCAGTGTCTGGTCTTTTGGGTATTGAACAAACCGGGAGATGTTAACTCCACATGCAGTTTTCAGCGGAATACATAATAACTATAAAATTAAGGGAAATTGACATTGGAAAAACTAAAGTTATCTAGTTTGTCATACAGCTTAGTTGTTAGTTGTAAGTATCATCTGTTCATGGCAGTAAAACATCCCAATAATACGTGAAACAGATTGGCAAACTCTGTGGTAGCTTTTATTTCAAGTTTACCATTATATATCAAGTCGACATATACTAGTAAATGGAAGTAACTGAAATGAAAGTCACAGCAAGTGTTTTCTCATTTAAAAGTTTTTATAAATTTTGATTCATGGGAATAATAAAAGTGGAGAGGGGTACCTTAAAAAAAAACATCGTGCATCCAGAGAAATAAAACGATTTCGTTAGTTTGATTGAAAAGACATTTTTGCAAATTAATATTAAACAGAATTTTTAAAACTTCCAAATCAATGACATGCTTTATTAACTCATATTTGCGTAGGAAATCTAAATGCAAATTCTCCGTGTAATTTCGATCATTATTTTAATACCTGGAAATAAAATGAAAGTTTATCGCATTTAGCAGTTCTTGCTGCCTGACTTAATGATAAAAGATACAACTGGTATTACCGCACAAAAATATTCTTGGCCCCATTAAACTTTTAGACTCATCTTCGATACGGGGCTCCAATATCCGTTCTTCCTATTAAATTGTGTCATTAATTGTGAAGTAGAGGTATTATATGTTTCCATATCATTGATTTGGTGAAGTCACAAAATAATGATGGTAAATTAAACCAACTGCCTTTGATGAGTATAGATTTCTTTCGTTTATTAACAGGAAGGACATCGTTTAAAAATTAAATTGCTAAACTTAATTAAACTCACATTCTCTTATTATCTATGTATAAAATACACTGAAGTTAAATTTACTGTAAAAGAAATATTCTCATACGGTCATACCGGTAGCTTCAGCTTATTACGATGAAAAAGAAAACTGAATTTCAGTGAAATTATCGAGTAACTTTACTTTTTGCTTTGAAGGTTTGCGAAATTACACAACGATATTTTCATACATTAATACGACCCACTAATATTATTTTGTTTTTATTACAGCATATTCCAGGTTTCAAACCATTGTTACAGCACACAGATAGGAAATCATTGTGGGGAGGATATCAAAGCTGTTTTAACAGACTTCAATAGTGGTCTAACGCCACCCATTTGTAGAGACTACAGCTTCGCGCCGCGGAGCTCAGCAAGGACCCAGTCCCTTAGTTTATCTGCACTAACTGCCTGCTTAATGTGTTTCGTGGCATGGATGAAGATATCATGATTAAAAATCAAGATGTAGTCAGTGTTTGGATTTAACATTCCAATATCGATATTCGGAGAACAATGTGAACAAACTTAGAATTCCGGTGTAGCAAGTTTACAAGGGGACTTCGATTTCGAAGATGTGATGGAAGAAAGATAACTCGTACTACGCTCATTATACAAAGCCCTCCTTATTCTTTGGATGTGTGCAATTTTAAAAGTGAGAAAGTGGCTTTTCTCTCAATGTGTAACATAATTTCTTACCATGGATAAAAGATTTTTTTAATCTGTGTATGGAATAACTGAAGGTTTTATTTCAGAACATTTTTATTTTATCTTCAAATGTGTTGCATAAACATATAACATGCTTATGAATTATTATGTTCATGAAAGGACATAACACACTATTCTGTGTATGAGTGTTGGAAAGTTCTATAAAACACATGGATAAGTGCTTAATTAAAAGAATGACAAAAATGGCTACATAGGTACATGTAATAAAGGAGAGGGAGAGGGGCAAAAAATCAATTTGCTTGAAAACAGTGCTTTTTTTTTTATAAAATGAGAAAATGTACATAACCCTTATTTGACCATACTGCATGTAAAAGTGGGGGTTGTGGGAACCAGCCTTTCAATGTACTTTTTCTTTTTCAATAGTTAAAAAAAAAATGTCTACAGGGGAAAAGAAGGGGGGGGGGGGGGGCAAAGACAATTGAAAGTAAATCAGATGACATTATTTTGAAATTTGAATTTGTTTGGACATCTTTTTTTTACCTTTTGATATATTCTTTCCTACCACTGTTTTTGCAAATAAAACATTTGAAGTATTGACAAGGTATTTATGGAAATATCTGTTTATGTCCCTACTTTTTTATGAAACAAGTACTTAATTTTTAAGGCAATGTTGAATAATAATCAACTACATGTATTAGTGCGTTTGAATGGGAACCTGGAATTGTACATGATTTGTGAAGAGTATGGAAGTACCATATAATGCTTGTCCATAAAGTTTAATACAGATGAAAAAAATATGTTTTTCTTTGCAAAAACCTTTTATATGAAATTTAGGGTTACAATGTATTTAACATAAGAGTGAAGGAAACAGTAATTTAATGTGAAGTGAATGTGAAAATGAAAAATCAGCCCCATTCTTCATGCATTATTTTTTTTATTTCAGTTCAGATGAGAGTTAATTGTTTTGGGTTATATTTGTTCAAATGCTTATAGTCTGTATTGAAGAAAAAATTAGGCTTTTTCTTTTACCTTTTCATAATATATTTTTATATTGTTTATCTTTTTGAACCAAAAGTCTTCTCTATCCGATTTTAGTTAATTTTTTGTTGTTGAATTTTAAGCAATTATTTTATTTTATGCAGGAACCAAATAGTTTTTTGTTGGACATATTTTGTTTGTTTCAGCAAAGGTTTTTTTTTTTTTTAAAGATTTCTTTTGTTTGTTTATTCAAGTTTATTGGGCATGTGAAATATTTGAGTGTCTGTAAGTATTCATTTTATACATTCTACTCACAGCTTGTTTTCTGATTATATTTTCTTGCCTTTTATTTATATATATTTAACCTGTGGGAAAATATGCGAAAATAAAACCATAAAAAATAAAATTACTTATTTTGTCATTGTTTTGATATTCTGGCGGATGCGTTGTTATACAAACACATGTTTTAATTGACCTGTTCATGAACCAGGTGTCCTGTTGTTAAGCGGATTTAGAACTGTTAAATATTGATCTTTAGCTCCATGTTCTAGTACAGATTCATGTGAGCGCCGAAAAATTATCTCTGAATAAATACTGTCGTACATGTACTAATAAATATGGCTAAATAAAATAAGGTTTTAACTTCATTTGATACATGTATCAACGTGAGAATCGCGCAATGACGCATTTCTTCTGCCATCAATAATCCCAAAGTGAGAAAAGAATCGCAAACATTACATGTACACTATTCATTTAATACTTATCTAGCTGACAAAGCAGGTATACAACAACTATGCCTCCGTTTGCAATGCTCTTCATTTTATTTAATGATTAACTTGAATTTAACCTCTACTCATGGGTACTTTTCCAATAATTATAAGAAGAATAATTAATTTCTCTGAAATCAGGAGTCAGTATTAAATTTCATTTTCAAAAATTTAACGGAAAATGGCTAGTAGAAACTATTATAAGTTGAATGAATTACTGTACTTAAACGGATTCCGAAACTTCATATCCTTACAAAAAAGCTACATACTGAAGGAGTTCCAGTAAATGTTTAATCAAACCTGTTCTTCTTACTCCCCGTTAGAAAATTAACACTAGAGGTACTGGAGTACTAAATTCACTAAATGATACCCCCGCCTCCCATATGGTTATAATTTATGGCAAAATCATTAAAATCATTGCTTTTAATTTGATCTGGGAGACCCGAAATACGTCTGAAGGACGGAATTACGGAAGGATGGACATCCCGATCACTATATACAACGAGTATTGAATACTACAGATTTATTTTAGAAGTGGTGTTAATCAGATGTGGATACCACGGGTGCTTGTGGACAGGAACATCCCCCTCGAATATCCACCCCAGGCCCAATGATATTTTTATGTCTTTTTTTCATAGATTTATCCTCAAAAACACATTTACAATGTTTTCCATAAATAAAAAAAAAAACGTTGAAATACACTTTTAGAGTAATAAATATTTTAAACTTCTAACTTTTTTTTTCAAATAAAACTCTTTATTTTTGTTCAATTGATGTTTTTGAACATATATTTGAAATTTTTATATTAAAATATTTAATAGTAATATGATATCACATGGTCCATTTCAAATAAGATTTGAGAAACAGGATATTAAAACATATACTGGTAATTTGAATAATAAAAATAATAGTGGCCCATTTCAAAAATACATGTACATGAATAAGATAAGTCTGAAGATAAGAGTCATTTGATACACGTATGTCTAATGCAGACAGGGCTACAAATTAATTAAATCAATGAATGTACAAGGTTTTCGTCAGGCTTTTTAGCTGAATTGGATCTACATACAGTAATTATACAATGTACCTTTAGTGACAGTAAACAACACTTAAATATGCACCGTGTACTAGTATTAATTCCTTCTAAATACAAACCATATAAACACATTTTAGGGTAGTGAACATTTAATAATGGCCGTAAACATAAAATTTGCACTAACAAACATTTCATTACTACATTACTTACATTTCATTACTACATTGTACTACAATACACATGACTTGGTAAAGGTAAGCAAGTGTTCCTCGTCATGTTTCGATATTTTTTTCTACACTGTCTTTCTCTACAAGACTGACCCTTTCTTCGTTACAGGACACTCTTGTATACCCGCTTCCATGGTTTTGTAAAGAGAAAACCACGATACCCAGAGCAAACATGAAGAGGAAAATGGCAGCCACATGCCACGTGAAATAGACCGCGATCATCATCTGGTCATGGTTATCTCCGCTAGATACCGGAAATGGACCGTACAGGGTGAAACCAATCTGCCAAAACCATGTTCCTTTCAGAAAAAAGAAGAATGGTCGCGCTAGTGAGGCTAAAATGCTGTAAGGAAAGCACATTTCTGCCATGGTTGCACAAAATGCAAGAAAAATGGCGAACACTAAGAGTTTGTGCACGCACACATCAACTGGTTCCCTTCCGTGCACGTGCCAGAAAAATAAAAAACCTTCAACGGCAATAGAGAGTATGAAAATTGCATAGTCTACGTTTTTGGGGAGCTTGAAATCGTAGTGAACCAGCATATCTATTAATCCGGAAAGTCCGAAAAACATAAACATGGTTGCATGGTGCCAGTTTTTAGGAGCGAACTCGTTATTTAGATGTCCTTGGATAATTTCGCCGACGATTCCAAACAATATGAGAGATATCTTTAAAATTGGTTCAACTGGAACTTTGGGAAGGGAATAACTTTTATGCATCACGGTTGCCATATACTCCGTACCAAACTTTCTGCACCGAAAGTACCGCTGTAGCATTTGTATCGTCCACCAAAGAGCCAGAAGCAGGAAGATGGAGCCCGGGTACGCATGGCCGATGAAGCTGCCCATGTTATCTTCTCCTGGTCTGAAAAGAAGTGCACGTTTGGAATTTAATATCAATGCTTTGCCTACGTATTTGACACTTTTTCCAGGAGGGATTCAAATTAAACATCACATGTATGATATGAAATTATGAAATACTCCGTATATACATGGATTATTGTTATTTTTACTTACTGAGAGTCTCGTGTTACCGATTATATTGATATACAACGTGTTATAGCGTCTGGTTTATTTTCATGTGTTTTTTGCATGACAAAGTGTTTAAACAGTGGTATTGTTTTTTTCTTCTTTCGATGAGATTTTTTCTTTACATGAACCTTGGTTATAAAAAAATCAATCAACAAGAGACATAAATATATAGTTTTCCAGGAAAACAATTTTATGATATACTACATTAATGGTGTATATATTAATACCCGGCAATTCTATGGGTGTGGCCAATACGTATTTCAAGTATCTTTTACATCACAATATCACCTTATACAGTATGTACATTATCATTTTGGATGATATGTAAAGCTAGGGTCATTTTTCCCTCGTGTTTTTTCTCTGATATGTGTCTTTTAATGTGTAAGGGTTTATGTACGAGTAGCGCTTCAATAGCGCTTCAATATTTTCTTAATAATAATGAACAATAGGCTTTTTACATTATTCTAAATTTCAGAACCCCTTGAATCAAATGAATATACATATGACATATTACATTTTTAAATGAGAGAGAGAGAGAGGGAGAGAGAGATTCAATTTTCAAAAAGGTTGCCTTTTAGACCATCTATTGTAAGGAATTCAATTAAAACATGGGTCTTTCACTTGAATTATTGCGTAAATTTTGCAATAGTTCAACTGTAAGTTTATGGAGCAAAGGTACTCCTGCTGCATTGTCACACCATTAAAGAAAAAATACGAGGGAAAAATGACCTTAGCTTTACATATAATCCAATATACTGGCTAGAATAAAACAGGTACGTGTGGACAGGATTCACAGGAACCCCCCCCCCTCCCCCAATATCCAAAATATGGGAATAATGTGAGAGGGGTTCCTATCCACAAGTACCTGTACCTGTGGGTCAGAAATACCACGTTTACATGCTCATAACATCTAATAGGTCAGAACTACCACATATCCTACATAGCCCTGAAAACGGGGGTAGGCAAAGATCTTCAATAATTTTCCCGATATATAGATGTATTATATTATAGAAAAGTAGCTACTGTATGCCTGTGTCCCTACTTTAAAAACGTCTGATGACATTAATTGCAACCCTCCTAAGTAATTGGATGTGCCCCCTTCTTTCCTTTCAATTGAAAATGCTTCCTGCAGAGCTGCTTGTCATTTGTCAAATCAATTTTTATCAAATGCAGATCAACATGGCAACACCTTGTACTTGAAGTGTCAAATACATCTAGACCTATATACTTAGCATAAGTATGAATGAAATATTTCTTTATTTGTTATGGTGGACAAGAGCTACCAAATTAGAATGGGGAATAATATCCTTAAATCCATAAGCGGATAACAATGAGGTCATCGTAAGCAATGAATAAGCGTATGACGTAACTTCCTGACTTCTGTAGGCTGACTGCTAACAAGCATGTACTGAGATAGAGAAATAGAGAGGGGGGGGGCAAACTTCGCCTCAGGAAATAGACTTGACTCTACGAGAAATGCCTCAATAATTTACTTTAAATGTATACTGAAACACTGACATTATTATTACTAGCATTAGCTATAGTTTTTCTATATCTTTCGAATACAATACATGTAGAATTGTGTCCGTGTGCTTATCTAGTATTGGGATAACTTATTACATTTCAAAAACACAATGTTTAACATCTCAATGAAAATAAATCAAAAAGAGTAAAATATAAATTTTAAAAAATGGGAAATCAATAAATAAATGTAACTTACTACTCCGACTCTTTCTACACAATCTAATGTTCAAACTATACTTCTAATCTCTCCGAACAGTATCCGCTCCTATAAGATGACAGGATGCGCATTGAATCACATCTGAATGGTGAAGAGCATCGTATCGCTAAATCAGTTTGAATGATGCAAGTCGTTTAAGTGGAAAGGAAACATTTTCACTTTCATGTACATCTTAATTTTCTTCAACGATTTTGTTCCTTTAGGGAAGTATTGCTATGTACTTGATTGTGTTGTACTTTAAATAATTACATGTTTGCTGGAGGTTATAAGATTTACAACAATATATTTTTCACAAAACGTGTAATATAACCGAATAGCCTAAGATAGGTTTCAATCGGCAACCCCTCGGGTGACTCCACTACATGTACGCTCCATACAAACCTCGCATGTGATTTGTTGGAGGAATCTGCATACAATCATGCATTGCCCTCAAAAAGTTTTCCTGTCTTGTCCCGGTCTATTGCAATATTATCGTGCCCCGATAGCGCCATTAGCGCGTTAGGGACATCTTCACTTCAGTTGATGTTTTACAAGGTTTTGGTTTACTGTTTTACATTACTAATATATTTCAACTCTATAACGCAATAATTACTAGTTGATCAAAAAATTGTTTTTCATTACTTTTCCTTACATCAGATTTATCCTTGGAAGCATAATTTGAAAGTATGAATTATTTCATTGATATTATTATATTAGTAACACTGAGTTGTAAATTTTGCATGATTAAAAAAAGTTTAACTGTCTAATTTAGAATTGTGACTTTATTTAAAATAATAAAATACTAATGCCCTGTTATAATTCAAAGATAGCAGCTTCGGACGAAGGACTGCATACCACGATACCTAACATCCTTAGACAGTCTAAAACACAGAGGGCCCTGAATAAAATCTCCACAAAAATGATACAGTTGCTTGAAGTTATCTGGGTTGCGTAATTACTTGCCCAACAGCTACTGTTGAGAGGGGATTTAGTTTAGTTTAGTTTAATTTAGGGGATGAACTCCTTATGCACACATTTAAGTATATAAATTTTTGGAAGCCTCCTTTATTTAAAAAAAAAAATTTAGTAAAGATTTTCCTCCAAATATTTCTGCTATATTTTCTTAAAATTGGTAAGACAAAGAGGAAAACTCATCGAGTCGACCTCTAATATGGCGATCAACGGGAGGTAACTTTTAAGGTAGGTCCGTACTTTCAGAATTTTCTGTCAAACTGTTTATTTTTTTATTTGAAAATCTTGAATAAGTCATAATCTAACTAAAATACCCATAAAAAACATATCTTTGCAGGTTAATTTTCATGCAACATGTCCCAGAGTATATACCTCTAAAAATTCAACAGCCAAAATTCAACATATAAAAGTGTAACATCATATTTTATTTAGCTATGTACCAAATCACATCCAATTATTGTAAAAACAAAGGAAAATCATAAATATTCATTTGTCAAGAAAATATTTGAAACTTCTATTTGAAAACACTAAAAATTAATGTTGATGGTGTCAAAATCTTTCATAGAAAAAAGCTCAAAATATCTTTATTTTAAATATTTCTCAAAATCTTTTATGTTTATATGCTATTTTTTCTTCACAATTATTAAATTATGATTTCATTATTTAGAATTATATCTTAGGTTAGCAGAAAAACATACTTTATTATGGTTGACCAGAAAATTTTTACAAAAGAGCCTTTTGAACACCTATACCCCCATTTTTGGAATATCTATTTTTTCAATCGTTCTTCGCAAAACTTATAAAAAAGTAAATTTAAAAAGATGATATAGGCTAAAAATTAAAGATAAATAGATCTCAAGTTAGTTTGTTTAAAAAAAATCAAAAGCTTTAGGTCCATAACGGCAATTAAGAATTCTCTGTCTGTGTATGTACTAAATTACATATAGATCCTATGGACAGAGTGCAAAGTGGTTATTCCTATAAATAATGTACATTAAATGCTTTGTGTGCACAATGACACTATAATAAACAAATATATACTTGCTAAATCATTTTTAATCATCTAAAAAGATTTTATTTCAATAGACAAGGATAATCAAAATTTTATATTGGTGTGTAAAATTAAAACCGGATCCGTAAAAGGGTGGACCTGCCTTAATTCGTCTAGTCTGGATTTTCTAATGAGAATATGTAGGGAAGGAAAAGACAACTCTTCCTATGAGTAGCTGGTGGACATGGTGGATCTTTTCAAAACAAGAAAATCAGAAAGCTTGAGTTTTTAGAAAACTATAGTATTTTCTTTTAAACTTTTGTCTTTCTCTTCTAAGTGATATACAAATAAAGATCAGTACCATAGTCAGTATCATTTTGGAGTTTTAAAAAAATACTCTAAATAGCCTTCGGTGCAATTAGATTATTTTTATTAAAATATCATATTATTCTGTTTGTGAAAGAATGAATATGTACGACACTTGCCATCTTAGATTTCGGGAGGGGGTATGTGTCACATTTAATATCAATCAATAGCTAGACTACACATTTTTACCGGTGTCAGGTAAGATCTAACTTGAACATCCCCGTTCAATCCACAATATGAACTAAAAATTCAACTTTCCATATAAAACATGCAGTAAATCGAAAGCGTCCTCGATACCTGTAACTCTTTCTAACTATGTAAAATGCAAACTTTAAAGCAATATGAGCTGCATTTAAAAAAAAAATATTTTGCTGGTAAAATATGTTATTATGATAAATTTGTATGTAAATTGAACCTTTTTTGATCAATTAGACTAAAATAAAGCATGGAATTCAGGCGCGTAGCTGCCTATACGCAAGTACGCAAGTGCGTACACATCATTTTCAAAAAAAAAAAAGAAGGAAAGAAAGAAAGAAAAGAAAGAAAAAGGAATAAAAAAGAAAGAGAGATATTTATTCGGAGAAAAAGAGGCACTATCTGTCTTTCAAATTATTTTACGTTCTTTTTTTTATACAAATTTTGTTCAGAACATCGTTTAAATCCAGTCTTTTATAAAATGAATTCCAAAATTCTTGATTAAGAAAATATTGTTGAACCAAAATTTTCAACTGTTAATCCATGTAATCCTGATTATCCGGACAAATACGTGTATTTAATGAAGGAAAGCGATCTAAGTGACATTGATCTAAAGAAAAAGTTACAAGGGTCTCGGACGACTATACAAAAATTTCCGTTGAAGTAATGAATAAATATTGATAAACAAAAAAAAAATGGCAAAATTCAAATTACTGAACAAAGTAAAAATATAGATCATTTATGAATATCTTCTTTTACTGATGTTACCAACTTATAGAATTATATCACTTAAGCATTCTCACATTGTTTAAGCTATCAGAATATAAAGGTAATCAAAATAAGACCCTACCCCTTTTTTTTAAATATTTAAACTCCAATGAAAACGATTTTTAAATTGCTTCTCTGTTTTATCTTGTCATACTTGGAAACTTTTTTTCCAATACCAATATATTCGTAAATTAATTTGATCAAATTATCCTTCTCTTCCTGATGTATCCATGGAAGTATAACTTAGCTAAGTGTTTGCTTGTGAAAGAGATGTAGCGTGATTTCTTTTAAAGGAAAATGAATGAAAATTTTCGTAAAATCCAGGAGCTTCCGGAGGCTTCGCCCCTTGTCCCACACTGGGGGCCTCAGGACGGCCCCCAGACCCCCGACCATTTTCTGCGTACACTTTATTTCAACGCTGGCTACGCGCCTGGAATTGTTTCTGAAGAAAGACTTCTTTACAATCGAATATACAGTATTATATAAGAAATCATTATTGTACAGGACGTCAATAATGCAATTTTGATTCAATCAAAGATTATAAATACCTCTTACGTATATGATCAACGGAAGTTTATAAACATTCTTTTTTCTGCCATTCAAATAGTCATTTACAATTTTGCAACAAAAAATTCCAACATCAAAGTTGCAGCTCATATTGTTTAAGGTTTGGCGGTTTCAGGCACTATATCAGTAGTATATGACATGTGATCGATCTGCATGAGGTAACGCGATTTGTAAATGACATCATAATAACCTTACTGAATAGCCCTTTTTGTATAAATTAAATTTTAGTTTATTTCTTATTAGCTTTCGTGTTACGCAATTATATTCGTGTTAGTTTAATTCTCATTTGTTTAATTCGCATTATGTTAATGCAAAACTTTCCGTGGGAACAGGGCATAACTTTCAGATCCCGGACACGTGCTTGATTTATAGATAGTTTTCGATGGACCTAAATTTAGCAAAAGTTACCTCCCGTTGGTCGCCATATTGGAGGTCGACTCGGTGAGTTTTCCTCTTTGTCTTACCAAGTTTAAGAAAATATTAGCAGAAATATTTGGTGGAAAATCTTTATTAGATATTTTTTTTAAATAAAGGAGGCTTCCAAAAATTTATATACTTCAGATAAATAATGATTCCTAATTCAAAATCGGAAATATAAAATATTAAAATTGGTTGAACAATGAAGGAATATGAGCATATGAACCTCCAGTATGGCAGTCAACGGGAGGTAACTTTTGCTAAATTTAGGTCAATCGAAAACTATCTTATCATTGCACTTATTCTTAATCATGTTAATTTAAAAAAAAGGGGGGGGGTAGCGTTGCCTCCAATAGAATAATGAATATGTAGTGATAATATAAAAATAACAATCGGATACTTTCCGTCACAAACCTCAGAGAAAAGGGACATAATCCGGAAACATAGCACTTGACTAAGTATCGAAATTGTATGGATAGATAACTAAATTCCGACTTGAGTTAAATGGACAAAATTTTAAACAGTTTGGTGAAACTCAATGGTCGCGAAACAAGTGTTTTTGCTACATACATTGTATGTACATGTATGTCTTTATTGTTGATATTACATGTATTTCCACTTTATAATGGTTTCCATGGCCACATAATTCAGTCAAAATCGGTTTATAAATAAATGCACTTACAAAACATCATTATTAGTTATTGTCGTGGTATTAAAAAAAAATTTCATAATTCGAAAACGAGAGAGAAACAGGATTGGTAACATACATGTATAAACAAACATACCTTGTCTTTCATCTTTTCAATATTTTTTTCTCTCTAGAAATAGCCTGAAAGGATTCTAAAACACACACAATAGTCATGT